ATAAAAAAAACAGCGCAGCTCCTGCAGCAAAGTAAACAGAATTTGTAGAAATGAAAAAAAGATGACGCAAGGATGCAGCAAGCTTCCCGATCGCGGATATGCCCAAAGCCGCGCACCTCAAAAAAGGTCAGAAAAAACAAACCAGGCGAAGTGCTTAAAAACCCGATAGCTACTGCCGTGTAGTAGAACAAGTGGGGTGAGCCCTAATAACGCACTCAACACGACGCTTCTCCCATACTTTGTTAGCACAAACAGCGCCTGCTCGGGCCCCACTAAGCAAAGCAACGATGGTGTGCTCTCTCAACGGCCTTTCGACAAACTATCCACCACCCGAGACAAACACTGATATATCGATCGATGAACTTCGATCTTTTTTCTAGAGAAGATATTTACTTATCCTAATGTGAAACATGACGCATATACTGAGATCTCTGCTTGACGCGAAAAAGTGTTAAGTGTCACCTGATTTTCGCTCATTGCAATGTGAGCGTTACAGCGTCGTTGTAACTCTGCTGGATTATTGGACAGATCTTCTAGTCCGTTATCAATATCGCCATGATGCTGATCTTCACGATCTCGCCAGCTTTCATGATGGCCACGGCGATCGTTGCCATCTGCCCAAGCGTGGCGACGATCGCGCTCATCGCCGCGATCGCCATCGTCGTCGTGCCGCCGCTTTCTTCTTGAATTCAAGTCCGGAGAACGATTTCTATAAAGTAAAAAGCATTTCTCTAGCTATATACAAAGGGCAACAGGAAGAAAATGAAGTAAGAAAAAAGTCGCAAACCTGTTGTTGGAAAGTTCTCTGTCCGCGCGGCTTGTTAGAAACTCCGATCCAGGCCTGAACAAGACTTGTATGAAGCTCTCGACATAAACATGCAAAAAAAAATCAAAGAGGATTTGCTAGCCATGTAAAAAGTTGGTTTTTTGACCAGTAAATATAACAGTTCAGAGTTCGAAAAAGGCAAAACTCAAGACAGTAATAGAGCCTGTACCATATTCACAAATCGAGTGTTTGCAGTTTAGTAAATCACTACATAGTGTTGCGTCGACGAAAGCAGTGTGTGGCACGCACATTGGGGGGAAGGCCGAAGGAACAAGATGTTCTAAAAAATCTGCCAGTGACGCTCGTGTAAAGTTGATCGCATGAGTACGTCATTGCGAAGAAAAATATCGATGAACATAAGCGATTTGGAGAGAATCGAAGATGAGCGAAAGATATGTTACGCGGCAAAAGACGAAAAAAAAAACAGAATCATAAGCAAGCGTAAAACGGCAGCGAGACAAAAATTGTGAGCAATAGGGCGATACCAGAGATATCTTATCATCCACAAACGCGACGGAAAAAGCCTCGTGAACCCAATTATGAG